GCTTACCACGCGAGCGGTCCAGGGATCAAATCTTGGGCCGTGACTCGACCGGGCCAACCAAGCCTTCCATCCCTCCGGGGTCGGTTAATTGGTACCAGACTTGTCTGGGAGGATAAAAACACTGACTTGTACATCGGCTGGCCCCCGCAAGTCATTGTATAGGCCACATCGCATTCAAACGCCACTACGAATGTACAAATGGAAGTAGAATGCGTGCCGCATCCCAAAAAGGGATTGATCAACGGCAAATGCTTTATCCTTTATTTTATCACTCGCGAGTTGAGGAGTGACGACGTGACTATCGTACGCTGGCGCTTAGTAATCCCCTTATCACGCTACCGGTATTAAGTTCCAAACTAGGTATTTACCTCCACCCAGACGAGCATCTACGACGTTAAATCAGCCCCCCGCCCCAGCACGTCAACCTATCTCATCGCGTGGGCACGGGGCGTCCGAATCACTAAGCTATGAGATTGTCGTGCTTGATCGATTTACAATGGAGCGCGCCAGAGTTTACCCTGAAGAGGAAAGTTTCTGGATGCAAGTGCCAGCACTGAACAGGCTGTGCTACAAGTTCAGGGCTTAAATACTGCGGGGGGGCCACACCTATAGGCCGATGTCATAGTTTGCGAATCGAGCGATTCGCTAGCGAATCGCTCGATCCGAGCGTTGCGCCAGCGAATCGAACGTTGCACCAGCGAATCGAACTTTGCGCCAGCGAGTCGAACGATGTACCAGCGAGTCGAACTAGGTACCAGCGACTCAATAGTGGCGGGACCCAATTTCAAAGGAAGCCCGCCACATTCAAACAGTGTCACGTGACAGTGGACGCTGTTTGAAAGTGGCGGGAGTTGACAGTGGGCACTGTTTGAAAGTGGCGGACTTCCTTTAAAAGTTGGTCCCGCCCTATTGAGTCGCTGGTACCTAGTTCGACTCGCTGGTACATCGTTCGACTCGCTGGCGCAAAGTTCGATTCGCTGGTGCAACGTTCGATTCGCTTGTGCGCAAGCTCGGACTCGACGATTCGCCTAAGCGAATCGCTGATTCGCAAACTATGAACTATTACAGAGTCTTGTAGAGGCATAAGCAAGCATCGTTAGATGGATAATCTGCCGTATGTTCTTCAACTCGATGGTTAGGCATGCCCATGACTCCAAATCGATTCCTTTCAGAGATCATCCTGGTGGCGGGGATGACAATTCTCCTTCCGCAGAAGAATTACGTCTTCCAACAAGCCTAAAGCCAAGTAAGCTCTATAGCATGCCTTAGAGTTACTAGCAAATTTGTCCTGACTGGATGGGTGGGTGGTTAAAACACGCATGCCGTTTCTCATGGTTCTTCCTGCTCTACTGACCACATCTACTCACATTTCCAATAATCTACCACTTCATCGTGTAATCCGCCTTTAACTCTGTGGGTGGGAATGTATGGAAAAACAAAGCAGAAGTCATCGAACTATGAATCACAAAACTGGATTTGAGACTCCTAGCTCTGAAAAATCCACCTTTATGTAACAGTTTCGCAAACTTTTTGAAGAAGGCATTTCTTAAGTGGAAGTTATCGAAGTGCTTTGCTGCAAGAATAGATAGGTTCATAGTCCTGAGCTGTTGAAATTCTACTGTTTTGACAACATCGATTTCATTCCAAACGGGTATTAATACCGCAAAAGCGGATACCTTAGTAATTGTGTCAACCGATACTTATTCCTTTGTTTCAGTACTATACAATTTGACCATCAAAACGTATTTGCCCGGTTACGTGGAGTTCCCAGAGGAGAAGAATCTCACCTTCGAAGGACAAGTGGAAATTTCATGGTGGTCGTGGAACCAACCAGAAGTATCGTGCTGAATGCCAAGAATATCACTGTGATACCAAAGAAATGCGAGCTTTTCTCGGTGAGCATTGTTCAATTCCTTCAACAGTCGGAAAACAATGCGAAGACAGCAGAGGAGGGGCCGTATCCAATCAACCCTAATGAATTTTAGCGCACTGCGACTCACGCACTAATCTGACGCTGCTTCTTGTTTGGGATAAAATAAGATACACTAAGGTACACGGTACACCGTTAGTCACATTTCTAATTTGTAATTCTACCTCTTCGTGACTACGAAGGCGAACTGGTTTCTTGAATGACTTGAAGGCTTAAGTGAGATCGAGCCTTGTCCGAGGCCTAATTTTTGCTCATGAAGCTTCGTTTTTGGGCATGAAAGACGTCAGAGTCTGCTTAGATAACATATCTAGTAGCATTGTCTAATGGATAAAAGGGAACACAATAAAGTCCAGTTCTAAAATTTCTTTGCTTCATTCGATTATGTCCTAGACACCCGTGAATTCGCCTCTCCAAATTGAATTGCACTGGTAATTGAGGGATTGTTCCACTGAAGAAAAAACAGAAAAAAAAGAAAAACAACAATGGTAGTGATTTTGTTTAAATTCTATTGAGCCTTTGGTTAACATACTGAAACCAAGGCTGTGTGTGAGGCTCGGCGTTGAATTCCTCAGACGCACTTTTGCTATAATTCACTCCTCATGTTAGCATGTCTACTGTATATTTAATGTCATCGATGTCATTCACGTTGTGATTGAAAATATAGTATAGATCAGATTTCGTATATTGAGGATCAACCAGGAGATTTCAGGACGATCAAAAACTTGACATTGAAAGCGTTGTGGAGCATGAAAGACTCGAAAAGATGGAGTTCACTCTGAAGAGACAACTAGAAAGATCAGAAAATTCTCGCTTAAGGTAGGTGAATCTTATAGCTTACTTCCACTGATGAGTTTCTTACTTCTTTTTCTAATTTATCCGAAATGTTTTCTAAATAAGATTTAGGTCGTCTACAACGGCCTAATCAGCGGTACCCTCGGTGGACTCTATCAGGCAACTTATAGCCATACAGACGGAACGACTAAGTAAGGTCTCATACGGCATGTATTGAAATAGAGTTTTGGTCTGATTTTATTGCCTTTTCCTTTTTTGCAGAATTGCTCGAATCTCAAAGTGGCGACCTCACAACGCTGTTAGAATGGTGCCATTGCTTCGACGAGCGAGTTTCCAAAGCCCATTGACGTAACGCTGATTCATACCGTAACGGTACTAAGAGCGTATCGAATGAAATTAAACGAATGGCGAAGGGTTGGTTAGTAAACTACTTGTCAACCGTCCTCCTCCTGATAGTGAGAAAACGAGCATAGCAACTCTTTAGTAGAGCCTGCCTTGAAGATGTTCCTGAATGGTGCGGGCGCAGGGCCTACCGGGTTGCTCGGTAGGCCTGGCCCTCCATCAATCGGGAGACAGTTCCAGTAGCTTGACCAGTTCCGGTAGCTACAGCTCTTTCAGGACCCTTCATTTTGACTAAATACTTCAGTTTATTCGATAGCAACATTGACACAAGCTACTCGTATCCAAAACGCGTTCAGTGCCTTCGTACCCGTGCCATTCAAACGAAACGGGTTCCCACGAGACTTTACTAGATCATTGCAAATATATAAATACTTAATCGCGTTACTTCCCTCTTGTTTTCCGCAGAGGAATGGGGATAGCTGCGGAAACTGCTGCTTCACTCATAATCAGTGAATGGTTCCTGGATCGCAGAGCCGTTCCAGTGAGAGCCAGGTAAACTTCCAGCTCAAGCGTATATCCTTCCATTCTAGAGAGATAGCCGGTGACTGGATCATATCGAAATTCGAGACCACCCCACGGATGTCCTCTTATCTGCTGGCTGTTTTTGTCTCAGAATTCGACTTCATTGAAAATTACACGTCAAGGGGTGTGAGGGTGAGACTGTAGCTTACTTTGTACCCAAATAGGGCTTGAACTTTGACTAATTCACCCTATTTAGTTTCGAATATGGTCACGTCCAGAGGCGAAAAGCATGACACAATATGCCTTAGATGCAGGAATTAGGTGCTTGGAGTTCTACGAGAAATTCTTCGACATCGAATTTCCCCTTCGAAAGCAAGGTTTGCTCATTCTGATTATCACCTAGTGATAGTACATGGAAGTTTAATGACTTGGCTCGTGAATGTCTGATTTGAATCATGTTTCATTTTCCAGATATGGTGGCTGTTCCTGATTTCTCATTTGGTGCCATGGAGAACTGGGGCCTCATCACTTACAGGTGATTTTATAGGTGTAACCTAATCAAAAACTAACGTAGCAGGGGAAAAGTGGCTGGTTTGAAAGGAAAATCGCACGCTAAGGTCAGAGCTGTATTCAAAACGGCCTCAGTTATCAATAGCGAAGCTTCTCTCAGTGCTGGTGAATGATGCTGACCGTTACCGTCACTGACCTCGAAGGCGAGAATTTGGAAGAAAGAAATTGACTTTGCATTCCATAAGTTAGTGATGACCTCTTAGTTTGTATCTTTTGACTTCCAGAGAAACTGCTCTGTTATACGATGAAAGACTCTATGCACCGGTTAATAAAAAACGTGTTGCTTCAGTGGTCGCTCACGAACTTTCTCATCAAGTTAGTTTTCTTCTATTTTTTATCTCTCCAACGTATTTGACCATTATAAATACGTAGCAACACAATGCGTATTATACATTGATGTCCTTGTTCTGGTCGTGACAGTTTTTAGTGATGCCATAAGTGAAGGCGAACTTTACGATAAAAAGGAGCGCACTAAAGATCAAGTTAGAGATGGTCAGTGATGCAGGAATGAAGAAAACCAGTGAGAAACGGCTCAAAATCCAGGGTTTCTTCATCCCTGCATCACTGACCACCTCTATTTTTGGTTTTAGTGCGCTCTTTTAATCGAGAAGCGGATCCCTCTTTTGCTGTTGATTTCGCATTGATGCACTCTACTGCCCTCCTCACCGCTAACGCTCTCTCATCTAATGGCCAGAGCCAAACGACGAGAGGCTCGGCGATCAGCGGCGCGAGCGGAGCGGGGAGGGTTCTTAGAGGTCCCTCTTTACGGGGGCCCCTGCTTTTTTTGAGTACAGGATATTGCTTGTCCTTCGGGCCTCGCACCTTATCGCGGATCGAGAAAAGACAACAGGCGGAAGTGGGTAGTGACAAGTGGCACGCTTACCACGCGAGCGGTCCGGGGATCAAATCCTGGGTCGTGAGTCGCCCGGGCCAACCAAGCCTTCCATCCCTCCGGGGTCGGTTAATTGGGTACCAGACTTGTCTGGGAGGATAAAAACACTGACTTGAACATCGGCTGGCCCCGCAAGTCATTGTATAGGCCACATCGCATTCAAACGCCACTACGAATGTACAAATGGAAGTAGAATGCGTGCCGCATCCCAAAAGGGATTGATCAACGGCAAATGCTTTATCCTTTATCATTTGATCCTCTTAAACACATTGGCGACAGCCCATTGCACGTGTAGCTCATCATTCCATTATAAAAAATTTCTAGATTCGTCACTAATCTTCTAATAATTCCTTCACTGGTAGTTGTGGCACTGTTTTCGGATAAGGTAAACGCTCGGGCAAAGAGTTGCTGTCGAGTGAGGTGAGAAAGTGGCGAACAAAGATCGAAGAAACTTTACCCACTTCCTCTCGGGTAAAGTAGACGCGGCTATGCTGCGTCATCTGTCATTCCACCGTGCTCATATGCTAACCGCTTCATGGAAACCCTCTTCTGTGTGGCTCAGAAAATGGGCTGAAATAGCGGTACTAGGCAGTTCACTACAAGGGATATTCATGGGCAATTCATAGCTAAATGGTATGTCAAGTGCCTATGGAAGTTGTCAAACTCGATTATATGTGGGACTTCCGAGATTATGCATCTATTACTACTTCCAGCTTTTCGCATGCACTCCAATACTTTGTTTGGTTTTTATCAGGTGAGCCTCGGCGAAGTATGTTCACAATGGATAATCTGTGGTTGAATGAAGGTTTTGCATCGTTTCATGCAATATATTGGCACAAATGAGATTACCCACGATAACTTTAGGATGGTAAGACATATGCAATAAAAGGTTATCAACAGCTCTTTCAGCGATCCAGAACAAAGCGCCAGAAAAACTCGGAACGTTTCAGAAGGACTATTTCCTGGTGGAGTCGTTTGCACAAGGCATGGAAGCTGACGCGGTAGCTTCAAGCCATCCGCTATCCTTTAAAGTCGACAAGGCTCCAGAATGTTGTTGAAGCTTTTGATGATGTCACTTATCGTAAAGGAGCATCGGTTCTCACAATGCTGCAGGCGTTAATTGGTGAAGAAAACTTCCAACGGGCCATAAGGGTAAGATTTACTGAGTGATTAATGCTTCTAATTCAGCCCTTTTGAAACTCGAAAGATTTGGTCCAATAATAAACATCAAACGGGCGTCCAAAAAGGTTTAAACTATGTGAACTGAATGTCCTGAAAGGAATCGTTCACGGGAAATTCTTGTATTCCATCCCAACATGGATACGTCAGTTGTGATCACTCGAGGCAAAGAACCGACTAACATTCTTCTGCTACATTGCCTAATAGTTACTACGATACTATATTATAAATCAGCAAGCTTATACATAAAGTACAAAGTTTCACGCAGAAGACTAAATTTGAAGAGAAACAAACTTACGAGCTCCATAAACTGGGGACGGTCGCGGGTAGGGCAGGCGGAGACAAAGGAGCGCATGGAGGGAGTTGCTTGAGGCGGCCACGTTTTGGGCGACGCATTGAAAAATCGAATCAAAGCGTTCGATTTTGAAGAATAATGACATGGCCGATAGGAAAGGATGCAGTGTAAGAGAGCTTTCGTTAAAGGAGGAAATGCCAAAAATCTTCTCAGTGACAGCGCAAAAGGAACTGCTTTCGCTACCGTAACTGTAATAATCCTAATAGTCTTCTGAATTCTTTGTCGAGACAAGAATTTTTTGTATACGATGCACATGGCGGGGGCGTTTGCACTGTGATTTCGTTACGCATGGAAAGAGCTTATCTGATCACAAGTAGATTTAAAAATTGCAAGGGGGCAAGTTGTTTAGACGACTTGAAAGCCATCCATTTCCATTTTATCAAGGGGGACGGAAATACCCTGAAATGTTTTAGCCAATTTCGGGCATCATGCTGCATTAGCTTATAATATGGTACCGTTAGGCAGCCATTAGGCATTGTAAACAGAATAGAGGTAGAATGTTAGCCAGTTCTTTCAGATTTCACTCCTATAAAATTTTCCCGTGATTTCGACAAATTAATTTTAGCAATACCTCAAAAAGTTCTCGTACAATAATGCGAAAGCTTCTGATCTCTGGGAATGTTTTTGACGAAGTTGTCGAGGAAATTGCGGGACCTGACGGTAGCCGCATGAAAACCTCTGAATTCGCAGATCAGTGGACGACTCAGGTGGCCATACTTCGACTTTGAAAGACAGTGATCCAATGGCTGGAAGTGTTGCTGTGTTGATCGTCATTGATGAAGAAATAGGGGTGATGAGTTATCAATCACAACGTCTGGGCGCAGGGACCTTTAAGTCTCGAATGGGACGTCAGTGACGTCCGATCAAAGCAGCACCGCTTCTCCAGCAGCCATGGATCCTGCCTCTACCACTTTTTTGTGCTTTTTTGTCCATTCGAAGGTTCTTGTTCTTGTTAATGCTTCAGATGGGCTACCCAGTAGTTACGGTGGAAACTTTGAATGCAACTACCTTCAAAATATCACAAAGTCGATACAAGAAGAACAAGAACGCTCAGGAGCCGGAAAAATATCGTCATCCAAAATATGGGTTGGGCGCCTGTTCGCAAAATTATAATAATTGATTCGTTCTGACATTATCTTTTCGCTGCGTGCCTTCCTTAACAACACCAATTGGACTTTTTATGGTTGAATGGGATGTTTCCTGTATGGTCAGCGCAGGACAGCAAAAACACGAAGTGAAGCGGATCTGGTTGACAGGGCAGCTGAGTAGATTTTCAGGTGATTTGGATTAAAACTCTCAAAAGTCACAGAATGGGACTCACAAAACAGGCCGGATTGAAAGCCGTGCAAAAGCAAACGATTTGAGCGTGGCTGTCGATAAGGAGACGCTGAGTTAAGCAGAGTCAACCCTGCGTTGCGCAGTTCGCAACGGCACGTTGAGAGATCCTCAACGCACGCTGTATGGGCGGAGACACAGACGGCTCGAGCATGCGAGTGTGAATGTTCGCGCGAGAGAACGTGTCTAATCGGGCGAAACTGCGCAACGTGGCCGTTGAGAACTGCGCAACGCAGGGTTGACTCTGTTCCTGACTCGCAGTTGCTGCCCTGATTCGAAGTGGCTATTTTCGAAGAGAAGGCAACAGGCCGTAGTGTTTTTGTACTTGGCTTAATTTTATTTATTGCTCAGGATTATTTTGTTTCTGCATTCGCTTTATGTTGGACTAGCCCTAGGGTTCTGTTTGGGCGATAGGTAACCGCAGTGCGATTAAAAATGAATAATTAACATCGCTGGATGTGTTTCGAGCAGGACTACAATCCTAGTACCCGCTTTTCGAAATGGAATGGTGACTCAAAAGTGCGATTATAAGAGGAAAGGACACCGATATTAAGCCTTCGCTCAATGAGAGATGAGGAAATCCTGGTAGCGTCATTTTTCTTCAAGTGCTTGCGTTTTAACTAGTGCGGAGGGTGGAGTCGGCAGTCTGTAGCACGAATATTATGCTATGCGAGGTACATGAAATCGAGAGGTCCATATAGTCATGCATGAAATAAATAGATCCTATCTTCATTTTTACGATTTGCAGCTGCTATGTAGACTGTCGGGGGAAGCAGCAGCCTCGTTGGCTAGACTCTGTTATCCCTACAGATGGAACAGCACAAAAGCAGTTGTGCTATGTTCAGAATACAAATTCTTGTGTGGAACCATATACTGCGACCTCACCCCTGGCTCTGTCACTGCACGGCCTGTTTCCATGATTGGTTTATTTTGATATGGGGCCGTAGCAAAAGGGGGTCCACAACCATACCAGCCTTGCTCAAATTTCGTATAATGTATGCTATATTAGTATGTTCGGCAATCCCCCTCTTGCTAGTATCTCAGTGAGGTACTATGAGGTGACCCTCACATCATCATACTCCTGAAGTTGATGCACAACAGCAAAATATCATGGAATTTATGTATTCATGCGTTATAATTTCAATCCCCTTTTGCAGACAAGCCGACTTATTTGCATGTGAACAGTTCCGATGCGTCCATCGTTGTGAACGCCGACAGGCATGGATTTTACCGGCAAAACTACGATGAGGATGGCTGGCGAAAGATTATAAACATACTCAATGAAAATCATAAGGTGATCTAAGCCTGGAAATATGATAGACCATTTAGAAACATTTTTACTGTCTTCATGTGTTTCATACGATCGCTGGAACCATCCGCTTATTAAATCAGCAAAACCTCGTGCTTGCGAAGCTGGCTATTTCCCGATCTCAGAATAGATTTCTGCTAATCCTCCTAATGTCCCCTAATATTTACCACCGATTTCCTTTTATCCCAAAATACTGAATGCTTTTCTTAGAAGTAAGAATCGTGTGGCAACAGAACAATGTTGACGTTAAGCAGTAACACTTGAAGCGATTCCGGGCACCTTACTTTATCAACATATGATTCTACTCTCTCAGAGAAAATGCATGGAATGTTCTCCGCGAGTTGCCAAGCAAATCAGCACCTAGTTCCCCAAGTTACTTAGCATCCTTGTTTTGGTCGCATATAAAGGCGACCAATTTTTAGCTCTTCGAACTTGCCGTCTTGTTCCTACAAATACCTAAGGAAAAATCGATGGCTCAGTTTTCTTCTCTACTCAGAATCTTTTGTTTAGGTTTCAGTCCTAGAATCCAGAATAAGCGATCAATATAGTGATTGCGGTTTGAGCTGGCCCTTATTGACAACACTTGAGTACAAAGATGTTTTTTGATCTTCTTGGAATACGCTAAGCAAGAAGAGTTTCCACACTAGCGTCTAATTTTCTCTATGAAAAAGAAGTCCTTCAACATAGAGATGATAGTATAGGAATTTCTACCGTGGAACGAGATTATAACTGGATTCTATTCAATTTTGGAGTACTTTGGCAGCGAGCCGGAATCAAAGTTCGCAAAGGTGAGCTGAACTTGTTGCAGGAAGTCTCAAGAATGAGAAACGAAATAATTCTTACAAGATTACATTTTTGGTCCAGGTTTAGAGCTTATTGAAATGAACATTCTGAAACCAATGCTACCGAAAGGCAGCTTGAATAATAATTCCGCGCGAACTACACGACGATCTCTGTTTTTCGAGAAGTACGTGACTGGTTAAGTGCTCGGGCGCTCATCCGGTAAGGGGGGGGGGCATTGTGATGCAACGTCAAGTGGCTGCCCTCACCCCACCCCCTAGACTGCCTTCACTCCCCCTGGCTCACGGGGTCCCGTACTTCGAGAAACCTGTGCGCCAGGGGGAGTGTAGGCAGTCTAGGGGGTGGGGGGTGAGGGCAGCCACTTGATGCCCCCTTACTGGATGAGCGCCTAAGTGCTTCTGAACTACAATATGTTTACAAGCATATTCATTTCTGTTATAAATAACTCCGTCCTTCGCATATGGCTGCCAGCGAATCATTGCCAATCCTCTCGTTGTCTTTTAGTTTTTACTGTTTTTTATTAACGATTCAAAACCTCAGTTTTTTACGACAATTGTAACACCTGGGATGCTCACCAGTATGCGTAATGCAGAGAATGTATAATGCCATATAAATTGAAGGAAACGATTCTTTTTGGTATGCCCTCCGTCGCGTGGGGGGAGAGAAGAGCTCACCGGCGGCACGGACGCGAGCGCGTGCTGGTGACGTCAAAATGACGTTCGCATCAGCACCAACTTTTCCAATCTGTCGAGCCGCGAGGGAAATGGCTGTGTTATGTACAAGCATGTCACCTGCACCAGAATTGGAATTCCTCGGAAAATTTAGAGGAAATCGAGGCTTCATGCGCACCAGCAAGGAGTTGGCACCAGTCGAGTCGGGCTGTAGGTTGGAATGAAACCAAAAATCTGTTTCGTATGAGTTTCGATTTTCTTATCATTTTGCTTATTGAAGCGAAGTTAATGAGAGCGTGATGGCATACTCAAATAAATACTTAACGTATAAAGTTAATAGCTGAAAAGAGCTAGCCTTGCTCGCTCCCTTCCACTACCGCTCTGGACGCGCAACGCGTCCGCGCCGTCGACCTTTTCCATGGAAGCCGGTTTCGAAATGTGGTGTAATAGTCATGGAAGTTGTGATTGAAGTCTCTTCAGATAACTGAGTTTCGTGTAGCAGAAATTCAAGTTTTCAATTGTGTGACACCTACAATCAAACAATCACACTAATAATTCTATAACAATAGTCGTAAATAAAAAATAAATAAGTAATATTACGTCAGTCTTCACCACCCAACGTAGCTTAGCTTGTCCAGCACGTACACTTATTTTCAGCAATCTTCAAAAAGCAGTTATCGAGGCCTACTGCTATTTTGGATCGAAGGACTGTATCCAAAAGTTTAAAGAACTCTTCGACAAAGAGGTTGTGCAGAAATGCAAGGGCAGCCACAAGGCAAGCAAATGTGTGGAGTGAGTCATTTTTGTAGGTTATACCAATAGACTGTGAGACGTTACCATAACGATGTCAAAATATATAACAGTATAGAAAGGAAAACGGCCGGAGATGAGTGCGAAACGAGGGACCAAAGTCTACTGTATTAATTTGCTTTCAGCGTGGCGGCTCCTGGCTTCGAAGCCCGATGGTTTACTCGCTATGGTAAGTGAACACGAAGGCGGAGATTTGATGCATACGACAGGTCGTACAAGACATTTTCGTCGGGGCCCCCGCAACACACGAACGCCAAGCCTGCATACCTTATCTGTCGGTGTGTTTTAAAACCACTTAGTCAGGATTAGGCAACCAGCAGAAGTTTGAGCCAGGGTGCGACGTGGGCTCCCCAAGCACTGAGGGGCGCTACACTATCGCGACTCAAAAGTGCGCGGCAATGGCGCTAAGGGCCTTGCCCGCCGCGCTGCCAGCGTAATCCACCACGGCATACGTGGTCTCTGCGTCCTCTCGCGTATGACGTACTATCTCGCGTTCTCCCTCTCCTCGCAGCGCTGTGTCTCTCCGTCGTACTACGGCCGGCCTCCTAAGGGAAATTTAGTGTTTTCTATGGTGCTTTTTGCTTTTTCTCCTCACTAATGTTCCTCATTGCACCCCTTGCCTAATGTTTGAACAAAATAACGCATCAATTCAATCCCGACTCGTGCCTTTAAGGTCGCGAATTATTATAAGTACCGGCCGATCTTGATTAAGTGAACCTCGGGAGAGTTTGCGCGTGGAAGCCCAACCTAATAAGCTGCCTGGATTCATTAGCACGAAAAGAGGTTTCAATCAAGTATGCAACTCATTTTTATGATACGCAGGTATTAAAATGCCGTACAAAAATCGCAAGCTGCGAATAGAGATAATATATTTTGAGAAAAAAAATGCAATCTTGAATTCTCTTCAAACTCGTTTTAAAACTGTTCATTAACTAAGATTAAGGAATTATTCATGAAGTAGCTAGGTCTTCAGTTGTTCTTTTTAGGTGATGGAGCTATATTACGCAGAAACTGTTCAGTTGGAGAAGGACTACCTTCTCGGAGCTTTAGCATGTCACAAAGACATCACAGCCTTGAAAGGGTGAGGAAAAATTGCACTTCAGAAAAGTTGACACCAATCTCGTACATCTTCTTCTCGCTTTGGTTCGTATGAAATATCTCGACCAGTTGAAAATCCTTTGCGCATTCCATCTT